AATAATTTGTTGGCGTTCATACGAATGAAGCAGACCACGAATATATCGTGGGTTACCGATTCCCAAGGACTTTAGTGTGAGACCTTATAAAAAGTTTCGTTAAAGTCGAGGAATAAAGCTGACTCTAGTAACCTCTTGATTCGTTTTTCATTTATATCACTGAGGTAGTCTGATGGACATGCAATGCACGACCTGGACACCAGAATGTTTATCATGTAGTAAATTTCATTCAAGCGTTTCATATGCTTTTCCTTATGCCAAGTGCAAAATCGCACACATCGTATCGACATGAAAAGCTGTTATTCATTTCAATAATTTAAAATTTTTGAAGGTTGATCTTTTGAATCATAAAATACCATTGCAACTTCAAGTAATTCACATCACATTAGATGACGAATATATTCGTCTAATTGTTCTTCTATGAGATTTTAGAAGACATCAGCAATATCAAATCTATCATATCAGTCGAAAGATTGTCGTTAATTATTCAAAGTGCTGAAATCAAACCTGCTGACGATTCTGTTTTGTTTATTACTGGTTCAGGGGATGGGACAGTCTTTATCTTGAGAAGCTCATGTGTACGTTCGGACATAATTAGAATAAGATATATGTGCTGGATAAGTAAGTGTGAAGACAAAAATAGAAGAACCATATGGAGAAGATGAGTAAGCGCCTATAAAGTTATGATAAATCCGCCTTTAGCCCCTCTGGGGTTGCTACCGGTCCCAAGCCCGGATAAAGGAGGGTTTGGCTCGGGGTTGGCAACTCCATCCCATGAAAAAAATAACTTAAAAAAATGCTAACCCGAAAAAATAATTTAAACCATTTTAACCCTGCCGTGGCAGTTAGGTCTTCTTTCCGAAGAGTTATGACATTTCATGATGAAAGCCGAATCTGTTCGGAAGTCACGAGGCTGATTTCCCTTCTGACAATCAGAGCAACCATTTGTTCAGGTACATGGAACGTTCGAACATTGTGGGAGACCGGAAGACTATTTAAAGTTGCTGTAGAAATGAAATGATACAACCCGAAGGCGCTTGGAATCAGTGAAACAGTGAAAACTAAGACTAGATTCAGGAGAGCTGCTGTTATACTCCAGCTATGAAGAATATAATGCTCCACACACACAGTGATTGGCATTGATACTGTCCAAACAAGCACAACAGGCACTAAAAGGATGGGAATCTCATGGACCCAGGATCATTAAAGCATCCTTCAAAACAAAGAAAGATGACATTACAGTGAACGTCAGCCAATGCTGTGCACTTACCAATCAATAAAGTGACGAAGTTTAAGATCACTTCTATGGAAGGATGCAGTCAATCGTCGACAGATGCTTATCATTTGGAAAGGGATCAAGGACCCAATCACTTCAACATGTCGGGAGGTTCTGGGCCACAAGAAGTACCACCATAATGAATGGATCTCTGTTGGTACTCTTGATAAAATTTAAGAGAGGAGGAGCAAGAAGGCAGCAATAAACACCAGCCGAACAAGAGCAGAGAAAGCCAAGCCACAAGCTGGATATACAGAAGCAAACAATTAAGTGAAGAAGAGCATCGAAGCCGACAAACGTAAATATGTGGAAGAACTAGAAATGACGACGGAAAAGGCTGCAAGGGTGTAGTGCCTCCACGTTTATTTGCATCCGCTTACATTTAATTTGGTCAAGCCTGTCGATTAATTTATTTAACCAAGCCATTTGTATAAAAATAACTTATATGTACCATTGGCTTTTATTATTGTGTGGTTTGTATGAGCTGGTTATGACTGAGAATTGCTTAATGCCTACGCGCATATGCATCCTATTCGCTTTAATATTAATCTCTTAAATATCACGATGACTCAGGCATTTTTCTTTGTCTACATACGAATATTTTAATCTCATTCATTCATTCATTCGCCCATTCGCATATTCACTTGCTTGTGTGTCTGCTCGGTCTGCTTGTGGTCTGCTATCCTTTTTTGTGGTGTGCCACAATAAACGTATCCAATATTTCGAATTCATCTTCTGTTTTTTAAACCGTCAGGCGCTATTTAGCAACGATTGTCTGAACGAGTTAATTGCGGAACTTAAGAACACCTCGAAATCGGCTCACCAACAAGGGAAGGAAACTCCTTCACTTATACAATACAACGAAGGAACGCGCTAGAAACTATAGTAAACCAGAACAACCAGTGAAAAGCAAGTGATCACCGACTCATGAGAACAGAGAAACGGGTGGGTAAAACACTTGAAGGAACTTTTGAATCGACCAGACCTACTGAACCAACTCAGAATCAAAGCACCTCCCAGGGATCTGCCGATAAATATTGTCTCACCAACAATTGAAGAGATCAGTATGGCCATCAGAAAAGTCAAGAGTGGCAAAGCAGCAGGACAAGACAACATTGCAGCTGGGACAGTGAATGTAGACACAACAGTAAATGCAAACATACTTCATATTTTCTGCATCAAGGTTCGGGATCAAGAACAGGTACTGAAAGGCTGGAAAGAGGGACACTGCAAAAATACCAAAGAAAGGCGATCTCGGCAAGTGCGAGCACTGCAGAGGCATTACTGTTTTCTCAGTACCAGGAAATGTCTTCAACAGGGTATTGTTTAACAGAGTGAACGACTTCTTAGACGCAGAGATCGACAGGCTGGATTTCGTAAGGATCGATCGTGTACTGACCAATTTGCAACGTTACGGATCATTGTTAAACAGTAGATTGAATGGGACTCACCATTCTACATTAACTTCATTGACTACGATAAATCAGTTGACAATGTGGACAGGAAAACACTATGGAGGCTTCTTCGACACTACGGTGTGCCTCAGAAGAAAGTCAACATCATACGGAATTCCTATGATGGATAAAACCGCAAGATCGTGCACGGAGGACAGCTGACGAACTCGTTCGAGGCGAGGATCGGATTCAGGCAAGGTTGCTTACAATCACAATCCCTCTTTCTTCTGGTGATTGACTGGATTATGAAGACGTCAATATCTGGAGAGAAGCACGGGATACAATCGAAAAACAGGATGCACCTGGACGATTTGGATTTCGCAGATGATCTGGCTATTCTATCGCAGACGCAACAACAAATGCAGGACAAGAAGACCAGTGTAGCAGCAGTTTTCAACATACATAAAGGGAAAAGTAAGATACTCCAATACAACACAACATGCTCCAACCAAATCACTCCTGGTGGGGATGCCTTTGAGGACGTTAAAACCTTTCATATCTGGGCAGCATCATCGACAATCAAGATGGATCTGATGCAGATGTGAGGGCGCGGATCTTCAAAGCAAGGACTGCATTTCTACAGTTGAAAAATATCTGGAACTCCAAACAACTTTCAACTAAAACCAAAATCTGAATTTTCAATACAAATGTCAAGACAGTTCTGTTGTATGAGGCAGAAACTTTGAGAAATACAAAAGAGAATATTCAGAAGATACAAGTGTTTATTAATAGTTGTCTACGCAAAGTACTCCGGATCCGTTGGTCAGGGCGCGTCAGCAACAATCTACTGCGCGGAAGAACAAAGCAGAATGCAGGGGAGGAGGAAATCAGAAAGAAGCACTGGGAGAGGATAGGATACTAATTGCGCAAAGCACTCAACTGCCTCATAATACAACCCCTCACTTGGAACCCTCAGGGTCAAGCGAAAAGAGAAAGGCCAAGGAACATATAGACCAAGCAGTCGAGAAAGATATGGGAAGAATGAACAACAATTAGATGAAAATGGAAAGAGGAGCCCAGGATAGATTAAGCTGGTCGGTGGCCTATGCCCTCTTGTGGGTGACAGGCATAATTAATTAATTTATTAATAATTTAAGTAAGTATAAAATTGTGATAAGGGACAGAATCACAGTATCTCGTTGAGTACAATAGATCGCGTTAGGCTCTTCAGTGATGATGTCACAGATATTTAGAGCTGGATAACGCTTTCGTTCGTAACACTTTCTAAATCGAGAATACCTATAGACAACTCAGACTGGAAGTCAGGAAGGTATATTTGAATAATGGTTGGGATGTCAAGGAGTGAGTGGACTAAATTTTCTAGTTGCTGCCAGATATGTAGCACGGCCTACACCAAAGTGATCCAGTGATGTGTAACCGATCGTCTTTAGCTAGCACTATCCACTAAAATCGATGAGGTCAAAATGCATTCTGAAGACTTACTGAACTACTTATTTTGGGGATTTAGTAACCCGTACAGTCCAACATTGGCTAAAACTGTCGCTAGTTTGTTTTTAAACTGCGAAATCGAGATTTGGAGTAAAAGACAATTGAGAATCTGAATCAGAATTAACGAGAGATAGGTTAACTATTTGTTGACCACTGGACAAAGAAACAAGCATACTTTAAAGAATAATATTATATGTATAAGGGTACATAAATCCTGTCATTTACAACACAGACTAGAGCCAGAACCTATTTTAAAAGATCTAGTTCCACTCTGAAGTGATATTGTTTTGGAAAGCGAGTTACCGACAGACCAAACAGTTAACTGAATAAGTCGGGAATGGGATGGCTACGTAGTCGAGCATTCCTTGCTTCAATCTTGGTATTTTCTCCTTCAATATATTCTTCAATAAATTGGTGAAAACCTACAGAAGGTTAAAATATTGAATAGGATTAGTCAAACGGAAATAGCGACTATTTTAGAAGCACATAGTTTAAAAAATGAACAAGGGAGAACTTATTACAGCATTTCTTATTGCACGCTAATAAAATTAACGTGACAAAAGTTTTTATTCAGAAATCAGACAGACAAAATAAACTTTGATACGGAAATGTAAAATAATATGCATCATAATCCTAAAACTACCACTGAAGTGATCACACACAATTCCGAACGTATGATGACAAATACTTGACAAAATTTAGAGTCAATGACAATGTGTGGCCATAAAACATCACCGAGTATCGTTTATGATAATAGGAAATTGGTGGAAATGTACTGGACTAAATTGAGATTAGGTAATAAATGGATAGCATGTAATTCCTTCAAAAAAAACTTAGTTTTAATAGACACTAAACCTATTGATCAATAAGTTTGCATGAATATGGAGAGGTGTAAAACATGTCTGATGTGTAAGATGGACTGATATGCAAACCATCTAATGCGTTAAATAAAAAAAGTCACTAACCACAAATTTAAGGTAGCTGTGTATTTATGGATGTGTATGTGAGACATTTACCGCACAAAAATCTTTCAGAAAGTTTCATCACCCGGGATGCGTATAGCTGTCCCAATAATGTTATTTGAATGCGGGAGGTCAACTGTTATAGATCATACCAATAATGAGCACGTTTTAAAACCATATTTCAAAGGGAATTGCTGGTACTCATGGGTCGATAACTACACTTGTTTCCTCGGTAAACATATGAAAGCCTGATTATCTGAAGCACACGAAAAGTTATTGAGTTCATTTTAGGTGGACAGGAGAAGACCTGAATCGTTCAAACAGTCAAGCAATGATACGTGCGTCTTCAGAGTCTTATAACCCTGGTAACAGCAAACAAGCACCTCATTACCCAGTCGAAAGCTAGGTCTGTTTCCATCACTAAAACCTACAGAAAACATGACCCATCTATTCAGTTTTTGAAACACATATGAGGCAGGAGTGTAAACCGTTCATATTACGCACACTTACAAACTGAGACATCAAAAAAATTTGAAGAACTTCTTAATGAGCAGAGAATGAATCCTTAACTCAGGTTGTTGTAAAAAGACAAAAATTTGATGCTTTTCTCATATGAAAATTAGTAAGGTGTTTTACAGAAAGTGAGTGCCTAGATCATATTGAAGAGCCAATAACGAAAATTCATTGTAAAACTTAATCTGATTCAATTAGTCTTTAGGCTCATCATTTGTTAGGTGAAAGCATAAGGAACGATACTTTTTCAATAAAAGTATCCTTAGGAAATCTAGTTTTTTCTTAACACCACTATTAGTATTTGTAATTCATCAGATGACAATCTTACTTCTGTATTAGCATAAATTATGCTTTTTTACAAGTAAAAAAGTAACGACAGCATTGAGTTTAGCTACGAGTATTAGCAATCATTCTTTTAATTGTTTCACCCCCAGAAACTAATATCTGTAATAACGCGAACGAAATATTTTGGTATCTATAAAAAGAAGACGTTTTGATATATAGTTTATGACATCAACGTTAGCTGGAGAACCGTTAAATCTTATCACAGTAATAATTCTGTCAGAAAGTGACACTGAAAGATAAATTTATGAGGTTCTAATGAGACGCAACTGTGTGTGGGTACAACGTGTTCCACTGTAAACCCGGCTCAGGAGCTTGAAAGTGAAACTCGCCGCGTGTTAAGTACTTCTGTGTCTTGTACAGTCCTCTGTGCTGATGAAAACTAGCCGTAGATTGATTAGTCGCTATACACCTGTCTACCGATGATTACTTGAACAAAACATTATGTCAGTAATTAACTAAGTCAGCTTTCATTTGGCAAGAAATTTAGTGGACTCATTACTGCCTTTCGCAGCTACACTGAAACCTGTTATGTTATTCTCTTTATACAATAACTAATGGTTGCCTAAAGATGTTGCCATTAGTTATAATGATAAAAATACCAACACACAGTATTACGTTCCAAATAAACTACCATAAAGTTGCCAACAAACAGGATGTTTGTCACAAAACAAATCTCAACAATTTGATTTACTTACTTGGATGTTGAAATAATTTATCTCCATTTATGCTGACATAATATGTTCCAGTATAATACCAACCTTGTGGAAGAGGGTATCGATGATACCTCTCCTAGAAAGTATAAGCATGTTAAATATTCTTAAAAGTGGTGAAAATTTAGTGTGAAGATGAGAAGAAGAGGGTTTTGTAAGAGTTTATTGTGCATTCAGAATAAAAACACAGAGTAGCAATTTTTATTACAGTTTTACAAATTATTCTAGCTGTTAGATAAACATTATTATAATAAATCTGTCACTTTTATCTTTAATCTTTTTTTCTTTTCTCTTACATCTTGTGTCCATGTTAGTATATATTATTATGTCTGCTTTCATGTGCGTGTATGTATTGTTTACTGTATTCATTGTACATACAGATTATAAACCATTTCACTAAATGGATTGCGATTTGACTAGGTTGTTACTACTATTTATTCGATTTGTATTCTCACCATAAGCACCTCGAAAAACATTATTCTTACTGACATTTCTTACTTTGAGTTTTGGTTTATCGTTGCATTAATGTGTTAAATTATAAGAATGTTTAATGAGAAATGGGCATAAGATGTGCACATATTACATCATCATCGTGATTCACAGTCAACCAGAGGCATTCAAGAATTACAGTAGTATCATTTTACCAATGTCATAGTTTTCTAAATACTCTGCAACGAAATATTTAGAGCTTAGATGAATCCGATCGCTTATCGACAGTAATATAGGACTATGGTGAAGTAATTAGAGAATAAAAATCAATGTCTGAGATTATCTGTTCAATATCTGAGTTATGTAGACTAACTATTATAATTTGAAGCACTTCAAAAGCCATTAACAATTTAAGATTAAAGCAGTAAGCATGTGGTGGCCAATGAATCACTAGCTTCGTGACGGTTGATATTCAACGTGTTCTTAGACTTCGTAATTTGTTCGTACAGACGATCGTTGCTAATTAGCGCCTGACGGTTTTAAATCAGTTGTAAACGAAGTGTTGAATACGTTTATTTTTGATATACCACAAAAATGGACCAGCAGACCACAAACATACAGAACAGGGCAAGCACACTAGCAAGCGAGTTGAAGAATTGGTGAATGAATTAATAAGATTAAAATGGTCGTATATATATATACATAAGGAAGTGTCGAGTCATCGAGATATGTAAGAGATTAACTTTGAAGCGAATAGGATGAATATGCGCGTAGGCATAAGCAATAATCAGTCATACCAGCTAATACAAACCAAACAATAGTAAAAACCAATGGTACCAATAAGTTGTTGCTATACAAGTGGCTTGGTTAAATAAGTTAATAGGAAGGCTTCATTAAATTAAACACAGGCCAACTTGAATGTATGTGAAGGCACTACAAGCATACAAAGCGGTAACATATGTCTTTTGATTGTTAACCGGAATTGAATAATACTGCTAAAAGTTGACAAATCCTTCGATATATCTGAAATGTTTAACTTCACTTTATACTACTAATATGATTGTTTGATCAAACAATAATACTCATTGAAGAGAAGGTATATTCAGCTGAAGAGTTTCAAATAATGGAAAGGAAGTCTTTCATTCAGTTTTTTAAAAACTTAATTAATGTAACCGTTAAAATCTCAACATTAGCTGGAGAACCGTTAAATCTTATCCCAATAATAATTCTGTATTTGGATTGATTATTTGGATAGAGTCTAGACTCTTTCTTAACATTTCGTTAATTACACAGTTGTTTCAGCTTGATTCACTACTAGAGTGTTCATTACATTAACTACTTTACGAATCATTGTTTCTGAACTTTTTCTTTAACACTGTTGAAAACCGTTGACTTAATAGCTTTTTCAGTTCCATTAGATCATGTTTAGAGTCAAGTTTAATGGAGACTCATTTATAAGATTTATATCTCTACTAATTCCATTAGTTAGTGTATCTTATATTTTGTGTCTTCGTTAATTTCTATAAAAAGAGTGGAAATTTTTGTTGCTCATAGTAAATCTCTTCTCAGATATGACAAATTCTTTGGTCGAATTATGTACATTCAATAACAGTTCAACCAATTGTTTACAGATGCATAAGATAATGTTACAACTGAATCAATCAGTTCTAATAATCTAGTAGATAAAAATGAACTCATCAGTAGTATATAATCCTGTTTGCTTTCCTCTATGTATAACATCTTTGGAAATGAATGTCCTGCGAGCTGCAGGAGTCGTGGATGCACACTGCTGATGAGTCCCATACCAGGACTAAACGTACGTCCAGTGTTTCCAGGTTTATAATGGTGGTTTAACATTGATCGATTCATGATTTTAAATGTGTAACTTACCAATCTTCACAACCCCATAAAAAAATTGAGATAATAAAGAAAATTTTCAAATAAAACAATCAGAAACAACCATAATTCATATATTTGCTTACGTGGATTTTATTGAAATCCTCTTCAGTTAAATCTGATTTTTTTATAAGTTCTCTAGGTTCTTCATGTTTAGCTATTGTTTCTTTAATCCAATTAGCAAATAAATCATTTAGTTCATCTGAATTTTTCATATTTTTCGAAGCATCTGCTATAGTACAAGTTAACCAGTAAGGTTTGTTATTTTGGCTTGACTTTGTATTGACTTGATTTAAACGATTTATACCAGACAGTGTTACGTAATCCAATTCATAGAGCTTCGATGAATCTGCAATATGGAATTAACAAAATGGATTATCTGAGTACCCGAAATTATACATTGTACGAAATTAATATCATTTTTATTTTAATATTTTAGTAATTCGAATAGGACAAGGAGTCTCTTATGTAGAGCGAAAACAATGAGGATTTTAAGTGAACAACGCCGATTATTGTTCTCAAAAGAAGTTTGAAATAATACCATCTTATCCTTAGGCAGAAAATAACTGGAAAACTGTTTGCTTCATCCTTTCTATGCTTTTTTTAGTTTATCTTGTTCGATCGTGTTCGATCTTCACCAACTGGATATTTAAAATGATTATTCACTTTTAGGATATTCATCCAATATCCTAATATAGTAAGCCTAATTCTATTGGTCAATTCCTATCGGTCTCCCTAACTATCAGTGTCACATACTTCAAATGTTGTTTCGTATTCGACCTAACTGTGTAAATACGGATTATCTGTAAGGTTTTGGGACCCGGACCCCGGTCCTTAGTCCGAGATCCTTATCTTCTTCTGGACTCGGACCTCGTACTTTCTGGATGCTTGTAGAACATATGTTCTACTCCACATCAAGTCTTCTTTTACTCAATAGGGTTTTGAGACGCTCGGATTAGAGGAACCTGTCGTGTCATGTGATCATTGATCCTCGCTCACGTTTTCCGACTAAGTTAAACACGTAATAGCTCGAGCATATCAACTGATGTATTTGCGTGCATCTGTAAGATTCACACAACTTCATCAACAAATTTATTTAAACAAAAAAGATTATTTTCAGTCAGTTCTTGTCAAGCACTTAATTTCTACTGATAATCTTGTAAGTCTATTTTCTTACATTTTTAATTTTACACTTTCAAATTTAAAATATTTATTACTAATGTTATTATTAGCATAATTAATATTTAAAAAATCTTATAATATATTTTTATTTTGTATTTATTTGTCTACACCACTCTTACTATTGACGCACAAACTGTCTTCAATTGTCTAACATTGCTTTATTTATCTGTACGAATACTGTTGTTTATTAAAATAATAAATATAAAAGTTTAATAATGCTGTTCATCAGCGTCTCGTTATTTCTCATAGTCCAGTTCTTTTTTCTAAATTTAAAACCAGATTTACAGTTTCAGTCAGGTCAGTAGTTCCATAAGTGTCAGATAGATTGTAACTTTGAAATTAATTTAGATTAGTGAGTTATGTGATTATATTTTACGGTTGGTTCTCTTTGTAGATCGACATTTCGACGAATTTCGAGACGAACGTAAAACTCATTGTAACTATTGACAATATTAGAAAAAAGATGTCAATCAATGTACAGGCGAGCAAATAATCCTTCTAGATTGATTGTATTTCTTAAACGGGCATAAAAACAAACTGTCTAATATACATTTGATGGAAAGAAATGTTAATCTAGTCACATAACTTGTATATGTTTAAGAATAAATTTATCTATATATCTATTGTGTATCTACGTTCTTTTTTGAAAATATTTTTAATATAACATCTTATAATTAACCAGAAGTTAGTGTTACTGTGAATAATTTCTAACAGTTGTCCACCTCTAAGCCTGATAGTATCTTATCTCGATGAACCACTAATACATTTGCGCTAATACTACTTTCGAATAAGGTCTTTCCTTTTCTACTGTTAGACTCCTTCACCTTGAACATCTAGATTAATTTATAGAAAGGGCTTTAATTATTTCATAAATTTTTATGATCCGTTTTTATTTCGTTTCATTCGATTTAACTGAGATGTTGTTTTTGACAGGGTAATAGCAGTCAGGACACTATAGGAATCGAGGTTTGTAAGCTTCTGTTGTTTACCTTGTTTCTTATGTTAGTACTGTACAATCCAGATGGGCGAAATCTTTTTAGTCTCAAGATTTGACGCACTGTTCGACCGTTCAGTTACAATCCTTCGAAGTATTCTTTATGTAGTATTATAACTGACAAACAGCTGAGGGCCTAGTAATAAAAATAGTTAGATTATGGGATGACAAAAAACTTACCATTCAAAAAAGCGATCTGACCACACAATGTGTAGATATTTCCATGAAAAGGCCAAGGTTTTAAATCCTTAAATAAACCTTTATTAAGGTAGACAGAAAGAATTATCAAACTATTTAATATAGTTATCAGTCCGTTCAAAGTTCAGAAAGTGATTATAAAATTTATACTCTTAAAGGTCACCAAATTCCCAACATATTAAAAAGGATATATAAGAAAAGAATATTCTCATCAGGTTTTACAGTGATGCATCCAGTAGAAAAGTCAACTTTATCGGAAGTTCTTTCGAGCTCAAATCTATTTGTTATGGTCGAACTTATGACCCTCTGTTTCACATATGATACGGAGTTGATCATACGCACTACCGAGGAGTCTCAGATAAAGACGAAAGAGCCATCCAATGCTTTTAGATTTCTAGTGGTGGTCTAACTAAGATCAGTTTGTGATATGAAGTGTATGAAAATCCTATAATCTGCAAAACACCCTGCATTGCTGTTACTAATATAAATTCGTGCAGTCTGTAGCTCTTAAGAAGTCTTGAAATCTAAGGAATTTATATGATGTTGTAACTTTTGTTTTTCTTGCTTTGTTCGGATTTCTCAAGGGATCAACATGTATGAAGAAATACATTGAAAAGGATAAATATGAGCTATGAAAATACAAAGGGGAAGCCTATATACACATTTATCTAGTTAGGTAACTGTTATGACGTTCGGATCTAAACTTGATACGTGCTGGCCCCAAAAAGACAAGAACAGAAAAGAAAGCCCCCATTTGGCTACTGAATAATATATATAAATACCCACTGTCATATAAGACTCGATTTCCCTTAGAAAATGAACCCATTTCTTGGTCAGTTATATGCATGCATACTTATCACCTTAAAAATGAAAATGACTTCTGATCCGAAGTTAGCCAAGATGAAAGATGTGATTGGGTCATATTTCTTTTGCACTCAAATCTTTGATTTTTCAATTGGAATTGGCGGTACTTTTGACATCTTGAGGAGTTTAATTCTGATAGATTTAAACAGCTAACTATTTACATGGTAGATTGCTGTAAATTTTGGCCGTATTACCTGTTTGAATCAAATGATATCACTGATAATCAACTATGTATTCACTATAGCATGTTAACTTTAATTTTTCTTATTGAAGCATTCAATCAACAAACTGTTGACAACAGTTAGGAAGATAATAAATTACAACTGTAAATACCTAATTTTATTTTTTATCAAATGGTAAGAACCGAATTGTTGTAGATAATGTTAACGGTAAAACAATATTCATGTTACAGCCCAGATTCAGTCACATAAATGATAGTGCATGAATGTGTGGAAATCAGACGTTAGTGTAAACATTTCTGAATTTTTTTAATTGAAACATTGATTATTCTAAACATGCTATTAATCATGTATAATACTAACCATTTAAGGCATTCATAAATAGCTTTCGATCAAGTTGTACATGAAAATGAAGTGTTATGCTACGTAATCTGGGAGAAGGTGGAGTGAGAGTACAGAGACTGAAATTAAAAACAAAGAAAAAGTATAAAAGCAGGTGAAGTTACAGCAGAAAATTTCATAAAAATTTGTTTTTTACAAATTTATTTATTTTTTTCAACTTTAAACTTTTGTGAAATATTTTTTCTTTGAATGTTATTTAGTTTAAAAAAAATCAATGACTTCACAAATTTTTTGTTAGAATATTCATCCAATATCTAAGAGAATTATTGGTCAATTCCTACTGGTTAATTCCTACTGGTCAATTTTATGGTCGTCCTACATATCAATGTCACGTATTCCAATGTTCTTTCTTATTGGTTGTCCTGACTATCAGTGTCACTTCAAATGTTGCTTCCTATTGGTCGTCTTAATTGTCAATGTCACAGATTTCGATGCTGTTTCCTATTAGACTAAAATGTATAAATACGCATTACGTGTAACGTTTTATGACCAGGACCAGGACCAGTACCCGGTCCCGGATCCCTAGTCCGGGATCCTGATGCTCTTCTGTATACGGACCTCGTACTTTCTGGATGCTTGTAGAATAGAGGTTCTACTTCATATCAAGTCTTCTTGTTTTACTCAATATGGGGGTTGGGATAATCGGATTTGAGTAGCATGTTGTGTCACCGGACCCTCGATCCTCGCTCTCTTTTTCCAACTAGGTAAACTCGTAATAGTTCAAGTATATCAAGTTGACGTGTTTACTTGCAGGCGTAACATTTTCATAGTCTCGTCGAAGCTTATTTCCAAAGAACACTTAGATTGATGGTAAAAGTAGTTGTTTTTGAGACTTAAAAGAAAGTGGTTCAATAATAAAACCACTAAACTGAATAATCTAACTGATTTCAAAGATACTTGTTTGTAATTCATTAATCTATGTATGATTAGCACAAATCTTAATAAGGTTTATACCAAGAACATGACATTAAAAATTCTTACAAAGTCGAGTAAATTAGTTTCTTTCTTATTTCCCTTGAATTGGAAATATGAGTTAATCAATGAAAAGACCGATTATTTTAACCTTATCTAGTGAACATTGACTGTGACTACAGTTTGTAAAATCTAGTTCCTTCAACATTTTGTCCATCATAACTTCAGTTGTTTATCAGAATAGATGATGATAACTTTTGCTACAAACTAGGAATGTATATTGATTAGGCTTTAAGTCTAATAAGTTTTACCTTATTACTTTAAATAGAAAACCAGATTTTCATAATGTTTCTCCTGGAAATTAATCAGAACTACCAGTGATCTAATTATACATTATAGAAACAATGTTCATGATTAATATTGTACCAAGAGATAAATGTATTTATTACCTTGGATAAGATAATAAACGTGCACGCTGTAATATTGGATTGAAAAATTCATTTTCATCCATTAAAGCTTCTAATGCACGACTATTTTCAATTTTTCCCTCTGGAGCCGATACATGACTCAAATGTGGATTGGCTGAATGTAAGAGCTCTGTAATTTCAGTAAATGGTACACCCATTTTTGTAGCATTTACCTTAAAAAAAACATTGCCAAGATGATATGATAGTATAATAGTATATCAGTTTAAAAACAAACATCAAGTAAAAAGTGATATATTCTTTTGATATGTGCACCTTTGGTAAAGGCGATCGATATCCACTTGTCACCAAATCTATTCGAAAAACCTCTCACTACCTTTACACATAATAATTTTCAAAGATGTTTAATATGATTCACGGACAGTGTCCAGTTTATATTTGGGAGTATTTTTAACAGATTATGATTGTTATAGTTGATCCTTAAGGATCCATGCTAACCAATCTGTTTATGCTATAAGTTGAAAATTTTGTCGGCAGACTCAATCGAAATTATCACTTAACAAACGACATGCAATGGATATCAAAGTCACCTAGGACAAATTTGAAGATGAAAATTGTTTAGTGAGAACATTTATTATTTCAAAATCGTATTGGTCTTTCGCGTAGAGGAGGAAAAAATGCAGTAATTTCTTCTAAATATAGTACCACTAAGTTGGAAAAAAACTTCAACCAAAAGATTTGTCCACCGAAAACATACAAAGATAGGACAGTGTATTAGTCTTCATATTTATTATCCAGTTCAGTAAAAATGAAGTTTGATCAAGAATTTATTAGATTGGATTGATCGAATCTGTAAAGATGCTGCCAGTAAAATCGATACGGGGCTGCTGATGAAGAATGAGCATTCATTAAAATGAATAAACCTATGTAAAGAATGCAGAGATCTATTATATTACTTACATCTAAAAAGCCTAATTGCATCACCCTACCGTTTCCAAATGAGTCAAGTAGTCTTGTATTACGGCAATGGCTCAAATCAATAGAACATTCTACGCAACCATTTTCATTATCATTGAAAAAAAGAAATTTATGTTTTGTCTATAATCTAATCAGTTTGTGAGCAATCACATCACATATAACTTTACATGTACGTATGGACATACATAAATAGGTAGAAGTACACATAAGTGATCGTGACATAAAACATTCATCTAGAGACACTAATTTATGGTCAATTAATACTCAACAATAAGATACAAAGTAAGGCGTAAAAAGCGTTCATTTATTATTTACAACTTGTACGATAATAGCTGTATACCTGGTTAGATTTCGGTGGTCCTGTTAGTAGTAAATAATTTGTCCATCCTTCAGCAATTAATTCTAACACACCTGGAAATGTCATTCTGTAAAATACAAACATGCATTTATAAAAAATGTGTTTTATGAAATCATTTATACAGTCATTTGGATGATTAGCTGAACTATAAATATATTGCTTGACAGAACATGTACAGTAAATATTTGATTTGGTTCGGTTAACTGATTAAAACTTATCAATTCAATTTTTGGTTTGCTTTCCATATAGTGAAATTACCATTCAGCATTCAGCGAAAATTAAAAACAGCTTTAAATGGTATTGTATTAGCATAATTGGTTAGGATGAATGTAAACTAAGTCTTCAAGTGACAATACTTCTTTTAACATATTGAAATTATTTATGACACCATACAAAAGTGATAGATAGAACTAACCAAACAAGAAGTACGACAAGTTTCGTTCATATTCTTTTCGAGATTACTTACTTACGCCAGTTACCTTTAATAAAGGATAGGCAAGCGACCAGTATTCTCCAACCAAATCTGTCCTGGGTCTTCTTTCCAAGTTCTATCCGATTGCTATTCATTATTTTCATGCCTGTTTCCATTTCTTGGCTTAATAAGTTCCTTGGTCTTCCTTTGACGGTGAGGGTCCCAAGTGGGGGCTTGTCTTGTGACGCAGTCGGGGGCTTTCCTCAATGTATGTCCTATCCACTTCCAGTGCTTCTTTATGATTTCTTCCTCTTCTGGAATCTGGTTTGTCTTATACCACAGTGGATTGTTGCTGATGATGTCTGGTTAACGGATCCAAAGTACCTTGTGTAGACAACTGTTGATAAACACTTTTATCTACCGGATGATAGTTTTCGTGGTTCTCCAAGTTCCTGCCACATACAGTAGAACTGACTAGACATTCGCATTGAAAATTGTGACTTTGGTGTTGGTTATTATTATTGGTTATTATTATTATGGTTATTGGTTATTACATTTCCCAGCGAGCTTGTCCTTTGTATCATAAAGCTGCCTCAAGTTTCCTTCTCTTGTAGCCTTTTTCTGCCGTCATTGCAAGATCTCAAACATTTGAGTTTGTCGGCTGTTATGCTCCTCTTGTCTATTACAACTTAATTTCCTATCATATTTTTGTGCATATCTCACTGACGAATTAATAAAGAACATGGAACATGCGTTAAAAGGCTAAACTGACCAGCGTTAAAATCATTGTTATTATTTACACATGACATAATCCAGTGTTAAAATTTTTCTGTGAAATCATGTTTACGTACAGACCATTCATCCTCGATGAATGAATATCATATACGAAATTGTACAGCATAATAATAAATTCGTTGAAAAGATATGCCTTCGCTGAACTTCATGTTTTTGAATTATGAAATTGTTTGGAAATAATAAATAATGATTCCATGAATAGATAAGTTGTCGGTTGAATAAATATTTATCTCAAGAAAAGAATTATTACCTTCCATCATCCATAACGGCCATTCGCAAATCAACGCATGTTGCGACACAACCTATCAAGAAGAAATAGCAAGAAGTGGTCAAATTTTAAAACAAACATGAATTTGGACAATTAACTTGTCACATTAAAATAGTAGTATCCGTGTTTGAATTCAAAATAACAGGTAATGGCAGACGTTTTATGTTGTATATTTTCAATTTTAGTGGCTTACAGCCATCTTTACTAAACCAGTGTATCAGTTACTCTTGTCTAGTCCATTTGAGATGTTCATTGAGACTGAGCTACTCAAACGACCTGACTGCTACTTCATAAGGTACTTACTACTGAGTAGTCAATGTTCATTTATATAAGTCACATATAAGCTAGATAATTCTCTACTACTACAAGTTTGATACACCATTTTAAATTTATTGTACCTGCACTCGGAGTAAACTACTGAATTGCAAGTATAAAAAATTAACTGAACCTCTTGTATCATTAAAGCAGTAAGGACAAACAATTACCTACGTTATTCACAGTATGAAAAACATCATATACTCTGAATCCGATCCCTAGCATTAAGTTTAAAGCGTACATTGTACATTAACAAATACTTAAAAGAATGTCAAAACTTTACTATGAAAGTGTCTTCGCGAAAATTTCAGTTATGCAAATACAAAAAAATCACAAAATCAGACCGGATGAAATATTTAACGTAGAAAGTCAGAAGAATTATAAATTATAATATTCATGTCCACCGAATAAACACTACATCAATGGAATACAAGTTATTCATAGAGCATGCCTGATATCATTTAAAAATAAGTTCACATAAAAAATTAAAGAAGGATCGATATTATGACAAAATAAAATAAACCTTTTCTATGTAAGCTTTGCACCAAATATCATCTAGAAAACAATGATGTGTTGTACATGGAATAAACAGTTTAATACCCTTTATACTCAACTACAATGATCAAGGTATCAGATTGCAAAACACGAGTAATTAATTAGGTATTGTACATTGCTGAATTTTGTCCTGCAATAAAAAGACTTGTGAAGTGTCTTATGTTCTGAGATTCATGCAATCGGTGTTAGGTTTTTGCTGACCTAGATATGATAACTGTTTAGTTATAAAGTCTGATAGATATTTTTACTATATCGATAGGGCTATATGCTTCCGAGCATCAGCTAACTATTAACTGGAAGATATTCGATATTACATATATCCCACTTGAAAATTCAAAGACTAACACTCAGTTCAAGTAGTACATGTTGAGGAACTAGTAGTCCATCATCAACTTCAAAGGGATTTATATCTAACATAACATAACATGATAAAATGTAGACTGACCAATTTTAATCAACATGACATTTTCATTCAGTCCAAGTTTTTGATGTAGTTCAGCAATGGATGCCAAAATCTCTTTTGATCCAATTACACCCGGACATAATAAAATACCATGACATCTTGATTTCATTTCACAATCATTATTTATGTCATGTTGTATTTCACAGTATTTTAGTAAAGCATTATATAAAGATGTCGTTATTTCATCGGAATTATCTGGTTTTATTTCAATCCATTCAATAGATTCTTTAACGAAGTTCAAAATATTTGCCACAACCAGTTCCTTGTAGTCAGAAGAAGAAAAGAAACGAATAGTTTTTACTCCGAAAACGTGTTAACTGCTAGTTTACTGTTCAAAAGACTAGATATCAAAGTTAACATTGAGTATTAAAACATTTGATGCTTAGTCTCAGCAATATTGTTTGGGCTGTCAATTCCTAAAACCTATAAAATATGGAGGTTCTACATTCATACGAAAACAAGTAAGTAATTTCGTTGAGATCATGAACTAATCAATATCTAGACATGAACACCGTTGGATGCTGGTTCAGTGGTTAAGAGGTTAAACGTCCACACATGAAACCGTACGTCCTGGGTTCCCACCCCAGCTTGCCAGGTGGTGAATGCACACTGCTGATGAGTCTTGTACTCGAATGAAATGGTTGTCTAGTACTTCTCAGTTTTTAATAACGGTCTAACATTTATCAATTTATGATTTCAATAAAATTCAACAATTTCCACAACCTTATAACGACAAGTAATTTTCAGTAAGGTGACATCATCCTGGTTGTGCAGTATCAGATTTACAATCCGAATATAAACATTCTAGCTATATTTAGAGCTGTAATTTTTTTGTTATTTTCTTGATATGCTCGTCAACTGATATGCTTGAAACTACTAAGAATTCACCTTACTCTGTAAACGGAGCGTGGGCGAATGATGCAGTGACATGTTAAATTATTCTAATCCGTTGTCCCAGGCCTGGCTAACTATATCAAGAAGTCTTAATAAGGCGTAGAAAGTGTATTCTACAAGCACTTAGAAATACGAGGTCGAAAAACACACAAATCGAGCTTATTTATACATGATAGAAACGTCCTTGGGAGAGCCACAAAAATAGCGTAATAAAATATTCCATCAACTAATGACAGTCAAGGATTTTCCGAGGGGGAAATGTGTGCTGAAGGTCAGCTAAGCAACTTGTGCGCGAAAGCATAAAAAACCCAAAATTAGGATCTCCATCAAGCAAGTTCTGGGAATCTAATGTCCCCAACTGTTCTGCTACCAAATCGTTCAATGTGAAAACTACTAAAAGACTTAAGTGACATGACTAGTGATCACATTTCATCTGAGATTTTAGAAGGTACCTAGAAATTATTGATCAAACAGACATTCAGATGATCATTAATCTATGTATTTCCAAAAATATCCAGGAGAGTTGTGTGTTATCTCAGGCTCTATGAACTGGGAAAATAATGTCAGTAATAGCATTGGGCTCTTTGCACTCAAGGTTAGGTTATACAAATTCATAGTTTTACATCAATGACTGATTTCAGATGGGTAGCCGTTGAAAAATAGCAGACAGTGGACAAGACTGTTGTTCTAGTGTAGCATTCACCACCACATCTGAGATCAGACTCAAGATGCTAAGACTTCTCGGCAGACTAGTGAGCTGTGGCTACGCTGTTTATATTTGTGATTTCGTAACGTGAAACGATATGTCTGTGAAATCCCACAAATCAGTAACAAATATTTTAATTTTGTAATTTTGATTGATGGATGTTTTATATTCATTAAGAAATACAATTAAAGTTTGGAATAAGCAACATCAAGAATATGCATTTTAAATCGATATTAAAAGTAGTTCATGAATACGTTTCGTATGTCACATCAGATTATATATCTGAATGCAAAGTTAATTTGATCGGATATAACACTAACGAGCTCATGATGTAAAAAATTATTTTAATATTCCTTTAAGATTTTTCTAGACGTTTGTGTAGTAATTATTTTGTGTTCAATGAGATTAAAACGCCGTCATGACATGAACGTTCTGTAATTTCTAGTTGAAGGAAGCTATAGTGTTTGTAACTATGACAAAATATACTGATGGTTGTATACCAAAAGTATCTTTACTAATATTCGCAATACACTGGATTCATTTAACAATATCCTTTCATGTTAGCTGGTAAATAAGGGTATAGTTTTAATTACAGAGTTATAGAGATGGTTGTTTTACACTGAAATCGTGAATCAGTCATAATTGGTCCATTACAAACATAATAGCACTGGATTACCGTTTCTTCCTAGTATAGGACGCTTCAGCACCGCGCATCCATGACTCTCGCTACTCACAGTAATCGAACCCAGGACCAACTCTTAATCTCCGCATCACTGAGCTGTCATCCGATGGTGTCAATGTTTAACTCTGATCAATCCATGGATTTTGTACAACCTCACCTGTTGTCTTCAAGAATCATTGCCTACACCTGATAGAGTTGAACCGCAGTAGTTACTGCTACTCACTTGAACTCCGAAAACTTCCTCACCAAGCTAATCATTAGTAAGCACATCTAACGATAATTGATTCAAGATTACAATGTAAAAGGTGTTTGCATGTATTTATCAGTGGTAGATCATTCTCTGAATTATGAATGCTTTTTGAGGTTTTTTAATAATATTTACCATAGATTATAAATCAAACAGACATTACTATATATTAATCATCATCACAAAAGTTGAAATTGCACATTGATTATATCAACAAGACTAAATCACAATTTGATGATATTGTTTTCGTTAAATAAAGTTAATAATGTTAACTGGATAACTTCAAGTATATTGCTAAATATATGATTTCAGTAGATTCATTATTTAGGACGCGGAAATAATTGATATGACAAGTGATTTTTCGCTAAAGTATTTTACAAAGTTAAATTTTGGGAATAGTTTTGTATTTGAAAGAGATATTTCCATGAATAAATAATAGCATAATGACTTACTTTTCGACTACCAGGAGGTCCACAAATCACTGTTATAGTGAAGGGCTTTTTCAGCTTCGTCAGCAATGAAGTCAGCTTCGTACAACCCAACTTTCCATCGTCATTAGAATTGTTTTCCTTGCACTGTGTTTTGAAAATTTCAGGTTGAACAATAGATGTGGTTTCGTTGTACACACTATTTACCTGAATATTTCTGCCAATAGCTACCTCTTTTATTATGTAATTCCAATCAATTTGTTGTTCATGCTCTGTATTTATGTAAGACTGTGGATTAATTCCACATTTTAAGCATAAACTCGCACATGTACTGGCAGTCGGGATTTGTGTATTTAAACATACACTAGCTTCAATATGTGATAATTCTTCACGAAATATCTGGATCCAAATTCTAGTAGACGGTTGATGTGTTAGAATTTGAATCATAAATAAACTACACTCTTCATCATTGAGTTCAACTTTTTCGTCCATTGTTGTTTCATCTATTTTATTATCTTGTGAGTTTGTCTTGAAAAACTCCTGTTCTAAACGATAAGAAATAAAAGATGCTTTGATAACATAGTGGTTAGGTTTATCTGAAGGCATCTCCAATAAGCCTTTGCCACGCCATACTGGGAAAACCTTAATAAATAGAAAAGTGTTCGTCAGTAAATTAAGGAGTTCAATCATATTTAAATGGTAATACAATGTAATTTATGAAAGGGATTATCATTATGCTGATAATTAGTGTGGATAACATTAACCTAGTTGTTGGTTCACTTCACCATGAACACACATCCTTCTTCTAGTCCGTGAATCGACAGCAAGTGTTGATAAAAGCTACTCAAACCAAAGTGGAAAGAAGTTTATCTTTTAGTTGTGAAATCTCTCGTTAACTAATCGATGATCTTTTTTCATACTTAATTACTTAAAAAAAATGATTAAAAACGCTAAACCGATTTCGTAGTAATAGAGACTGGTTCTAATTTGTCTCTTTACATAGGCATTTTCAGTACATCAGTTTTTTTTTGAACATTCAACACTCAATTTAATTTTTTTTAAAAATAAGTAAATGCTTTTTGATTTTGACTTACATGTTCAATAAATGATCGTCTAATTTTTGAACGTTGTTTAATAATAAGCCATATTGAAGTATGCAAACCTGTTTCATTCATTTCTTCCAATAAAGCAGAATGTATGTAAGGTGAAATAACCGCATTTGTATTTTCGAAAATATCTGAATTAAATTGAAACTCTATACAGTCAGGTTGTGATGTATCTGGCTGTCGTAAGTATAAAATCATTAAGCAGAATAAATTACTTATC